AAGGACAAAATTTGCATGGAAAGTTTGCCCTTCTGAAGTTTCTTACTAGAACAAAGTCGCTAAATAATCATACAATTAGAAGCGAGAGCATAAATTGCGCATAGCCTGTCTGTTAAATGATGGCCAATATAGCAGTAACACAGAGCAATACCGACCTTCTTCAAAAACATGAATTCGAACTGTAAACTGAATAGCCGTAATGGCAGTTGTTTGGTTTCACTGGCAAAGTCGGTCGTCACTTAGTCGAGTTTTTGTCTAGTTTTTGGTTATATTTTTTGGTTATGTACCATTATGCTTACCAGTGCTGAATTGCTACGATGCAGTTGCATTATTCACAGTTCTCGATTATTAGTTACTATACTAATTGTTTCGCCAGCGATTTTTATATCTGAGCAGCCTTCCACTCTCGGATAGTTGCATACTTGTCCAACGGAATCTGACCACATTTAGGTCAAAATAGACCGAACCAAGAAAGTGGTGGAACAGGGCATGATTTACTTGACTTGTAGAATGTCACAAACAGTGCTCCCCGTTTCTTGTAACCATTTGCCGTTGTTCTCTCTTCAGTAAAATGCCTAATTCCTTCGTAGCCATTTTACCTCTGATCCTTTTCGGTCAAATTTTTCAACCTGTTGGCTGTTTCTAACACGGATCGATTCGACAAACTGCGAATTAAGAGTTTGGTCATCTTTGTCGTCTTGTAGTTCATGTCTGATGGAAGGGGTGCATCTGCCAGGTTATTATTAATTACTGGTTTAATGTACTTCATTGCCCATGCGAACCGACTATCGCTTTTGCACTATGCATTTGTCATTCGTCTGTTTCGCTCGACAGTTGACAATTCAACTGTCACAGCTCAACGCATGGCAGATTTTTTCTCTAAACGTCATGCTTACTTGCCTTTCGCCATCAGCTTGTTGAATTTTGTCGGCACCTTTGAACTTAAATCAATTTCGGGCAGGATGCGTGAAACGAAGGATCGAATTTGTAACAAAACTCAAGGCTTGCTCTAGTTGAGGCTGAATTTTTGTGGGTTAAATTTTCGTGTTTGATTTATGGTTTGAAATTTTTCATGCTGTCCGCTTTGAGTTAATTGTTTGTGATATTTAGGCTGTCGGCAACGACCTAATACATTGAGCGATATGTCATCTTCCAATAAAAGTTATGAACATAAATTTGCATGAAAATAAATCAAACGAATAAGTTAAATACTGTAATTTCCGGAATGTAATTCTTCAATATACCAAGGTGCTAAAGCCGCTCACTTTTTCTCAGTAAAAATTGCTTTCGGCGTTTATGCCATTTAAACGTTTCGGATTCCGACACAGAAACCATAATCATGGCATAAAGGTACAGTATACAATTCAATGGTATTCAGTTCATCTATATTAAATTGTGTACTGTATTATGTACAAGCGGTTGAAATGCGCTTTCTGAGATGAATCGCTTGGCCGACTCATTTCGAGATGGTCCAAAGTTTATGTATTTGAGAAAGTCTTTGTGTGCAGCTGCTGCTTCTCTGTGCTGAAAAGTCCAGCTGCCATGGTTTTTGCATTTCTTGCGAATGCTTTCAAAAACGAAGGCGAAACGTAGTATTTGCTCACCCGACCAGCGGAAGACCCCTGGAAACGGCCAAGTTTTTACCTCGGGCAAGTCTGTAGGTGGATTCTGCTTTAGACTGTGGTTGTCTTCTGCCGAAGCTAAAATGCTGGCACAGAATTGGGAACGTTGGAAGCTGTGCCTCGACAACCCCAAATGACATGCGGTTATAGAAATTGATTGATTGATTGCGTCCTGTATCATTGTATTGTTAAAATGAAATGAAATGCTCCCTGATGATGGCCTTTGTGCCAGAAGTCCCAATGTCATATCATATCGCGCCCAAATTAATTTACATTGAGAAAAATGGAGGAAATTTAAACACTGTAATGCTCTATGCCTCTAAGTCTATGGATCAAGGCAACAATCAAAAATGGTAATGTAAAATCTTTTTTACCTACGTTTATCGACGCTGTACACAAGCCTTATCATGCAGGACTAATGGTATACAACTGAAACAGCGCGACGTTATGAGAAACAGTTATGTAATATTTGAGTGTCAGTATCAATTGTTCCATTATTTCTTTCGAATGAGCTCGCCAATTAAATTCTAGCCGTCATTTAAACCAAACGAGTTCGTCTGTCTGTTACACAGTTATTTTTTCTTTATCAACATGCGTGTCTTTCATTGGACTGAAAAGGTATCCAATGTATAAAGTATGGGAAACGATGCTCTGTTTTACTTTCAGATTGTGTATATTTGACAGAAGCAGAGGTACAAACCCTGAGGGACCTAAAGCTTAATGTTATTTGCAATATTGTTTAAAAAAATTGATTTACGGGCACAAAGCTTTGGGTGTAATGGTGTAGCTGTTGGAATATTGATGCTGTTTATTTTGTGTCACTTGACTGTTGTGCACAGAAAGCTTCGTAGTTTGTTATTTTTGTTTTTTGTCATTCAGAATCATATACAGGTTGTTTTAGGTTCCGTATTGATACACTGCCTTCTGGGCATCAGTCGAAGCGTCACCCTCGTCGTCGCTTACATCATGACGGTCACCAGTTTCGGCTGGCGTCACTCACTGAACATCGTTCGTAGCGCACGTCACAAGGCGAACCCAAACATCGGGTTCAAGAAGCAGCTTCAGCTGTTCGAAAATGCGGTAAGTTTCTTGAATGATGTTGGCAGTCCGTCTTCGATGTCTGAACCTGGTAGATTGTGGGATATGTGCCACTTTAATTTCGATGATAGGCGCCATTTCTTGTGCCTCGTTAATTCCTATTTTTCTTTTTTTTTCTGGATTGACCTTATTTTTATTTGCACAGCTGTCACGTGGGTGAAGAAGTTTCGCTTTCACCGGAGGAGGACGTCTATTGAGCAATAGGTATGATGACATGATTGTCGATTTCACATGCTGTGGTATGGTCACGGTAAAACACTATGCTGTTTCTAACTTTTGCACATCAATCACTTGGTACCTGTTTCTCAACTGATTGCGCCCAAGCAGTTCAGGAGCTTTATGGTGTTTTGCTGTAGTCATGCCAGAGCTTGCAAGACTGACTACCGTGTGGTCCAGTAGATGCTTCTTAGGAGTCTTCGACCTTACTCATGTGATGCGTGTGTAAATTGACATAAGGTGTAATTCCTAATTAAACAAAGTAAGTAAGAAATAAAAAGGGCGCAAGAGCGATGTCCGTCATGGAAATTAGAAATTACAGACATCCCACCGGCTTCTCTGTTTCACTCCCTACGCAACACCTATTGAACGGCGGGTCGTCAGGTTCTCAAGTTTTGGCAGGACCACAGCAAAACATTGTGCTGTCTCTATTGTTCCACAGGTCAGCGATTTGCCATTTGTGAATTGTTTATTCCTCGCTCACTAGTTTTAACTTTTAACAGAAAAATTTCGCGCAGTGATTCGGTTCAACCTTAGTCTCTGACATTTAAAATAGAACTATTTCCCTCTGCGCGACTATCCCCTGAATTTATAGAGCTTCTGATATGTCATCAATTTCATCCTGATATTATTAGCCAGAAATATGTTATTTTTAAATGCCGTATCGGCATCTTCACTCGTTCGTTTCTACTTAGTGTTGCTCATTTCTCTACTTCTGAAAAATCAAAGGTCTGATCAGTATTCAAGCTGATGATGTTTCTCCTGCGAATCCAGCGCTATGCCTACTAAAGCTGAGGATTGGTGACTTTTGGACTTCTTGGAAATTGCTTTAAATCAGTGGCTTTCCAACGTGATTACTTTAAGCAGGTTTTGCTCCGTTTCATAAAATGGTGTTTAGAGCAGGGTTATTCTCTGTAACGCCATGGAAAGAAAAAACGGGCAAGCTAGTATATAATGGTGCCTAGAATAAGGGAATCAGAAAAGCGAAACAGGCGGGAATCACGTCAAGAACAGCATGTTTAAGATGTCTTCTGTAGAAGAGTTGGATGTTCTAAGGGACACATGTTGTTCCGTGATCTTCATTAAACTGTCATGTTTCGAGGTTAACAGGTAAGCGGTTTATGTTAAGGAGATTTTTCATGAGGTCATTTTCAACGAATTTTTTTTAGTTAGAAGTACCTTAAAATCAATAGCTTGAGGACTCGCAACCGGACAGAAAATGGCACACAAAGCAAAGCCGTGAACAAAGTGGAACTATAGAAAATGAAAGTGGCGTGTGGGGGGGGGGAGTCCACTACTACCGTTTTTCGTCACCTAGTGTCGATATGCTGAAATATGGGCTGCATGATTTTCAGACCTGTCTGATTTGTATACTGTTACTTATATGCGCTTCACTCTTCAGTTCACCTGATTTTATGCGTATTCAAGCGTCCTCTGCCCCTAGATGTTTAGGGATTCATTAGAACAGCCTGTAACTCCATGTCTATTCAAATATTAATACACCTTAACAGTCATTATTATCATCTATGAGAAACGGGCAGCTTAATGTCGTATTGAATTTTACTGGATATAAGCGCTTATGAACATGCTCTGATGTTTCAACTAAGCTGCAACACGTTTCGGGGAGGTATTGGAGGAGCAGTGGCTCCTCATACATCGCTAGTAATGAACAAGATCTGTCGCTTAGGCGAACATGATTATGCGAGCTGCGTTTAGCGCAGTGGATTCTCCAGTACCATGAATCCATGACTTGCTTAGGTGCCTCTCTTCAGTCCTCTGGGAGCAAGAAAATGGCCAGGGCGCCATTAAATCCCACTTTTGAAGAGCTGATCGCTTACTAATTTAAAAATATGATGTATATGTGCACTTTCCTAAATCGCAAGCAGCATTAAACTTTATTTATACACAACGCCAATGGTTCTTTCAATTGGATGATTGTTTGGGCACCGTTTCGGCCTTGTCTCACGGGCCTTCTTCAAGGTATAGAGGTGGGTTTGATTCACAGGTCATTTTTGTCGTTCACAACGGTTCATGCATTCCCACTCAGAAGGCCAAAAAATTTCAATTTTTGCAGTAAGAAGCAGAGAGCGCTGTCAAGCATTAAATCTTCATTAGGTTTTCCGTTGAACCGTTGCTTCATTTACTTATTTAAAGACTGGCAATTTTGAAACAAAAGTGCTTGTTGTTTATCTCATGGATTTTAACATTACTCGTCTTAGGGTTATGAAGCAGCTAATT